TACAAAAAAAAAAAAAAAAAAAAAAAAAAAAAAAACACCTCTCCCCCCCACCAAAAAAAATCACATCTTACTTTCCCCCGTCTGTCTGTCTCTGGTGAGTGCACATGCCTTGTGGCAAAAACTTCAACAACAACAAAAAAAGTTCTAGATGCAAAAGGTAAAATTATAAAATGTTAAGAAGAGAACATCTTCATGACTTCAGAGTAGACAAAAATGTCCTTTTGTTAATATTCTTTTTCTAATACATATTTTTATACATTCAATCACTATCTATGACTTAGCTTGTTAAGTGAATTTCCAACATGAATACATTTCATACCAGTCCAGCTGGGAATACTATACATGTCATCATCCACAGATAATAATTAATTTCTGTGTCAAATGTCTTGTTTCTCTATTTTTCTCCTTAATGACTTTACTCACAAATATCCACAAACAAAAGAATGGATTGAAAAAGTGTGGCACATATACTCTATGGAATACTATTCAGACAGAAAAAAAAGGCAAGACTCTGGCTTTGGATAGAAAGTGGACGAATATTTAAGATTTACTGCTGAGTGAAGCAAGCCAGGCCACGAAGGAGACACTGTATGTCTCCACTTAATACACACGGATTGCGCACTCTATGGCAGAAACCGAAGGACTGAAGGACATAGCGGCATGGGAATGGTTGTAGATCCCAGATACGAGTGGGAGAGGGTGAGAGAAGGAAGAGAGTGTGAGGAAAGACAAAGATGTCTTAAATACGACACCCTAAATAAAGTTTAAAAAAATACAAAAATATTAAAATTAAGAATGTCCGGGGACCAGCAGTTGGCATAATGGCTATGTCTCTGGACTCCCATGTGGTCGACTACGGCTCAAGTCCCGGACCCGGTGGCTTAAACTCACACCGGACACATGTGCATGTGTGCCCAAGATCCCAAGAAGAGAATGGAAGAGGGATTGCAGCGTGGCCATCCCCCCTGGGGGGTGATTTCTCACTTCCTGTCTCTCTGTCTCTGTCTTTCTGGCAAGTGCATGTGCTCTACAGCAAAAAGCTCTCCAAAAAAAAAAAAAAAAATTCCCTTTTTTCCTGTAGATGCCAAGTTAA